CAACTGAATATTGTAGTAGATAAAGTTAAACACAACTTATTATAATGCATCAACTACTTTTTCCTTATCATATATCAAAATGTTAATTTTACAATATTGTGTTTTTTTATATATTTTATATAATACAATTTAAATTTATTTTTCATATTACTTTACAAAAATTTGTCAATGTATTTTTCTAAAAATTACATTGAATTACAGTTTTCACCGATTTCCTACAAATAAGTACTTTAATATTACATCGAATTACAAATTATCATGAATTTCATGCAACAATAATAATAATAATAATAATAATAATAATAATAATAATAATAATAATAATAATAAGTATTTTAATAAATACACAATTTTGTTTTTGTTTTTTTCATAAGAGAATGATGAGATCATATTATCACAATTGAACGTTGCAGTAGATAAAATTAACCACAAACTTATTATATTGCATCAACTATTTTTTCTTTATCATGTATCATAATGTTAATTTTATTTTATTTCTTTTAGATTTTATATAATATAATTTCAATGTTTATTTTTTTTTGTATTACATTACAAAAATTTTTCAAAGTGTTTTATTATAATTATATTGAATTATAATTCTCATTGGTTTCCTGTACAAGTAAGTATTTTAATATTACATTGAGTTACAATTCTCATGAATTTCATGCAAAAAATAAATATTTTAATATTGAGTTACCGAGTCTATTTATAACTTTATGAAAAACGATCAATCTTTCACATCATTCTCTAATCACCATCGCACTTATTTTGTAAAAAAACGAAAGGTTGAGATTTATTTTGTTAATTAAAAGTAAAATTATGTAGACTTAATTTAAAATTAAATACATGCAGATAGAAGTCATTTTTATTTTTTATTAAATATTTAATTTGTATTTATAAATTTTATTTTTCTCATCTTCGTACATGTTAACATTAATTATTCAATATTAGTTTAATTTTACAACAATAATCATGATTTTAGTTTCTTTTTTGAACTATGAAAATTATGTTATCACATATACATTGTTATTAAAATTTTTGAAAAAGTGTCATTAATGTGACCAATAATTTTTTTCATGGTATATCACATATTTTTGTAAGCTTAAATATGTAATTTTAAAAATTTCAAAAAAAAATTATATTGGATTATATATATATATATATATATATATTTTATTACTTGTTGTTGTTTCTAAAGTCACGATCCATGTTGTCTAATTATTGTTATTACTATTCGTGATAACGAACACAATTCATACTACTAATATTGTATTTGTGGAAGTATTTTTAAATGAATTAATAAAAAATTTATTCTACATTATAGGGGCCCGATGTCTAGTAGAGTAGAACCGAAGTCTCAATAAATTTTTTTATAAATATTTTTCTATTAAATTGTTATTTATTCACACTATTTTTTATATTAGACCGCGCAACGCGCAGGTGGCGTACTAATAGTCTCATTATTTTGTGCAGTTAGGCCCATTAAAAGAGGTTCTATTTTGATTTAAAAAGTAAGTAGACTGCAGCATCAATGATTGTTTTCTGGGCCATGGGCTGGCAAGCCCATATTCGTGTATTGACCATAATTAAGTGTGTGAGCAGAGGAGGGACTCAGGATATAATGTGCTTAGGCATATCAATAAAATTCGCAGGGTTGGGTTATCCACGGGTTATCTGCATTTTCGGATCGAGTAAACTCAAGATGATTGGGTTTCGGGTCGAGTTCAGGTAGAATTATACTACCCGAACCTTGGGTCGGGTTGCGGGTATATGTATAGTAGAAAAACCCGTTACCTGACTCGATTATCATACACGAAAGCCTGTTTATATTAAAAATTAGATTTTATTGTAATTTTGGTTATTGATTAAGTTTTATTTTATTTTTTATAATTTTTTTTTTACAAACTTTGTTAATTGTACAATAAAAAATTTAAATACTTAATTTTTAAATGTTATATTATTAGCTAGACTATAAAAGATAAATACTTATATCTAATTATTTATTCTAAAAATAATATAATTTTTTTATAGTTTTTTATTTTCAAATTTAGTTGATAAATTGGTTGGTACATTATAATTAATTGTGAAATTATTTTATTTTATTTTTTTCATATAAAGCGGGTTAGGTCGGGTTGAGATCGGGTAAAGCCCAAATTTAAGAACTCGAATTACCCGTTTACCTACCAC